ATAACTTAGGACCCCGACAGAGAAAGCTCTGTCCCCTCTGAGCTTCCGTCTAGATCTCGGTTCCTCCAAGAGCAACTGATCTGCAGATCTAAGAGACCGATAAGGTATATAGGGGTGAAGAAGCTCAGTGAGGTAAGCCGGGGAAAGATTTAAAAACAAACATAAGAATTTTAAAACGGATCCTAAAATAAACAGGCAGCCAGTGAAGTGATGCCAAGACAGGGGTTACATGCTCTCGCTTTCGAGTTCCTGTCAAAAGTCTTGCAGCCGCATTCTGAACCAGTTGCAGATGTGAGAGCAGTGACTGACTGACTCCCAAATATAGAGAGTTACAGTAATCCAGTCGAGTCGAAATAAAAGCGTGGATCACTGTTTCAAAATGCTGCCTGGAAAGAAAAGATTTTACTGATGCCAATCGCCTTAAATGATGAAAACTGGACTTAACCACAGCTCTAATTTGGCTGTCCAATTTAAAATCACTGTCCACCTTAAAACCAAGATCTGTAATAACAGGTTTATAAAAGAAATAACATGTAGGACTCTGTTCCTTCACTGCTGAAGGCCAAGTGGGAGAGGTTTAGAATCGCTCGTCTTTTACTGGTTGCATCACATTTTACGGGATTGAATCTCTACTGGTGTGTATTTGAAAATTTCGACCGATGGCATTGCTGCGCTTCATTTGCGTGGCAACTCTGGCACCGTCTTAGACCGTATTGATATTGGGGTTCTGAGAATTAGTGTGGACCTCCTGGAAATCAAGATCTGCTTCATTTTAGAGTTGCCAAATGACAACTTTTTGGTCCTTATCTGTCCAAGCAGAAATTCTTTCCAAGTGTTAGGCTTCTGGCCAGTCCTCCCTCCCACACGAGCCAGGGAAGACGGGTCAGAATGACCTGGATTTGTGCCAGAACCTTTTCCTTGCAAAACAACTTGAAAATCACATTTTTGCTCTAACACCTCCTGGCTCTGATTGGTTGTTTCTGAACCTGACAGGTGTGCTTCTGCCAATGACAGTAGGACTGGGTGGAGGCAGAGGAGCTCTTATTTTCAGATTCTGTCTTACGTTATACTGTTACACATGGAGGCAGTTTTAAAATTATTTAAAAAACATATTGTTTATAAATCACCAACTGAAACTTTAAATGTACTTTTCATCAAGCCCACATTATGTATCATGTTTTTATTGATCTGATGTCACATTCTCATTGAAGACAATCATTTATTTGCATGAGCTTGAGGAAAAATTTAAATTTGCACAAAGGTTTAAACATGAGTTTGTGAAAATAATACATAGTGTTTCACTTAGCAAAGTTAGCTTGTAAAACTTTTCTATATAACGATAAACTTAGATACACTGTTATTAAAATTTAGCGGCCTCATACACCCATCAGACTTTTGTTTCCCCACCAAACAAATGCCTGTTAATCAGACAGATTTATTTATTTCAAGGAAAACCCCTTGAGATGTACCATGTTTGTCACTAAATGTCGACCAAGTCGAGTTTATTTGTACGATAAAAACATAATACAGTAAAGAACAGCTCATTTTGTCAAATGTCATCATCAAATTGATCAATAATAATAATCAAACATCAAATTTATTGACCGGTGGTCCAGTTATTAATCAAAGGCAGCACTGCACTGACGTAATTTTAGCCTTGATTTAAACAGTTTTCTGGAGATCAAAAACTCCTGCATGACTTGGCACATAAACGCTTATCTCATGCTGCTCAAGTTTTCTGCTGATTCCATGATAATCAAAAAATTTTATGTTTCAAATTCAATTTCAAACAGCATTTTCAGCCACATACAGAAATAATTTAGGTAAAAACTCAATTAAAAAAGATTGCCATTTAGCTTTATGAACATATTTTAATTCTATTTTTAAGTATATTGAGAAAACAGTAACAAAATAGCACAAGTAACAACACAAACATTAAAAAAGGCAATAATTTAATTTAGATCAGCAAAGCTAAACGTGTAAACAACTTGTACATTTTTTAATTGCTGTATTAAACTTGCACATTTTTTAGATCTTCTGGAATACAATCAATCAAATTTAGTTTGTGTAGCACCTCTCAGCAACAAGGCATTTCAAAATGCTTTACATCACAAAAATACAAAGTCATGAAACACACGGTCAACATTTTGCACATCAGATGATCAATTCATATTTTATCATTAGGTTTAAAAAAAACTCTACACAGCTGTATTTCTAATCTAGAAACACAGTCCCATAACTTAAGAAAAAAACTGTGCTGAGTGGAAAAACTACTAGCCACTGATTTTGACTTTAAATCGACAACACAGATAGTACAAAAGAACAGGTCTGATGGTCTGATCTCTAAGCCCGTAGATTAGAGAACTCAAACATCTGGGAAGATAATAAAACAAACATAAAAAACATTCTGAACCCATAAAAATGCCACTCTTGTTAGAATTTTTGAAAGCGCTACAACAAGTGGGTTATTAATAGTGGAGGAAAGACTCAGACCAAGTTGAACCAGGTGCAGTAGCAGGGTGTTACGGGCCTTATGAGCTAAAGCTTTATCTGTGGAGGCCGACCTGGCTGCTATAATCACACTGACATAGGAGAAAGTTGTAGCAACACCAGCTGATACAAACACAACACATGTGTAGGCCCTGTCATATTCTGCAGTTACAGCACCAAGCAGCAAAGCTATACGGGAACAAACATCTTCTATTTGCCAGCTCTCAATTTTTCCTATTGAAAACTCTAAAAACAACAGAACACGGGTGAGATTGTTCAGTGAACTGACAGCCCAGATTGCAACGATCACTACAGTTGTGTTTCTGACGGTGATGATGGAAGAGTGCCTCAGTGGGTAGCACACAGCCATATCTCTCTAATGGCATCACCACCAGTGTTAGGGGAGAAATCCCAGTCGTAAGGTTAGCAAGCATGCTAAGAACAGCACACAGCGAATAAGCCAGCTTGACTCTGCACACCGACAGTAAGAACTGCACTTGACTCTGCGCCAGCTGGACAGTGTCTGCCAGAAGAAGGTTGTAGAGCAGAATGTAACGACAGGTGTCACGAAACACAGGTTTACTCCTCAGCGTGAACAGAATGGTCCCATTAATGTAGAGAAAAACAAATGACGGCACTGTAGACAGGGTGGAAATCAGAACTATCCTCAACAGATCCTGGTTCTGACTTGTTGTCATGTTAGACTCAGACTGTGACACATTAAACATGCTGTCGAGTTCCTAAAATTGCTAAAAATTTACCTTTTGGTGTCATGAATACAGGAAAAATAATTCAGTTGGTATTTAAAAAAGATTTGAATGCACAAATCAGATACAAATTCCTGGTACTCACAAAAAACCTAAATTTATGCCAAGTCAATCCACCTGCACACAGTGCAAGGTAAGCTGGTCGCTTGGCGTTCATTATGTTGGGTGACGGGTTCTGCTCTTATTAATTGTTCATCTGACACGACACACGTCACCATCATTTAGCAACGAATGACCTAATCCCTTTTGTGAAATCACAAAGGAGATTGCTCGTGTTTTTTTCTTTCCTGTTGTTTTTAGATATAATTAAATTCAAGTGACATTAAGAACAACTAACCTACCTTCTTTTGTAGAAGATGCAAAGGAAAAAATTGTTTAGATTGGCTCAAAGCAACTGTAATAAGGTCATTTATCGGCCGATCTTTGTCTTTATTTTTTCCCCTTAACTGATGGATTGTTTTCTCCAGAAATCATTGAAACATGGATCACACATATTTTGCGACGTCTCAGACGTGTTTCTTATAGACATGGTGATGTTGGAGGTTGATGTTTCAGATCCAGGTGTTGGAGCTGTACTTTCTCAGATCACAGAGGATGATAAACTGCATCCTTGTGTCTTTTTCTCTCATCATCTGTCTTCCTATTTATATTATTGTGGTGGGACCGGTGTGGTTCAATAGAACTATTTTTAAGACAAAATTGTAATAATTTATCCCCAAAAAGTTATATTCAAGGCACACAGGCCGCTACATATGAGGCTTGAGACAATCTCACTAATTTCAATAATTTTATTACATCAGTTCATGCTAATCAATAAAATACACCAAGTTAAAACCACTCACATTAAATAAATAACAGTGACGGCTCAAGTCAAGGGTGGCAGTGCAGTTCAGGGTAGTGACCTAAATAAAAGAAACACAGCAAACAAAACAACAAAACTAAAGAAAATTGTGCAGCAAATCAAAAGAGTACCACCACCCGGAAAGTCCACCACCAACACCACGAACTGGCCTTTCCTGTCAAGATAAAAGACATTCAAATTACATGAGTCATTTCATAATTGTCGTTCAGTCAACAATCAATCAGCAGCAATTGTCAATTAAGAATTCGTCCTGGGATGCCACGCCACAGACGCCACTCAAGAGCGGCAGCAGAGTCCGTCCAAGCTGGTCGCCAGTCCGAACCAGCCAAGCTGGACAAAGGGCAGGAGTCAGGTTCACGCTGACCACGACGGCTGGCAGAGAGCCAGCAACCAGAGCGACAAATGCCGACGGACAACCAAAATAACAGCTGACATCAACCAGGAACCACAGGGCAACAAGTCAACAGCCGGCCAAGGACAAACAGCAGCGTCACAAGCTCTATGTGTAGTGCCTCTGGCTGGGAGGAGGATCAGGCAATTTACACAGGCCACCAGAAGAAGGAGCGATCAACGTGCACACCTGAGTGTGCTACTGGCGCTGCACAGCAACAGAGGTCTAAACCGGAAACACATGTTGACCAGGTGAGGGAGGGCCCCTTATATACAAACAGCGCCACAACCAATTAAATGCCAGCACTTGTGTGGTGCGTTCAAAACCTCCAGGGCATACTGCCACATCAATAATATGGATTCATCACAACAGCAAAACAATGCATTAAAAACTAACCCTTTAACAAAATGTTCACTATATTTAAGACACCAATACATTTTGATGACTGTGTAACTGTCTTAGTTTTCTTTCTTGACAAAAGTTAAACTTTTTAACCACCGACTGCAACAGCTTTATGTTTTAGTTGACAACCGAGATGAGCCAGAAAAATGGGTCTGATAGTATGATCTCTAAGGCCGTAAATTAAAGAACTCAAACACTTGGGGAATAAAATTATTAGTACATAAAGAAATTTGTGTAATCGTATAAACACTACAGGTTGAACAATTTTTATAAGCGCTATAAGCATTGGGTTATAAACAGTTGAGGACAAACTGAGGCACAGCTGCACCAAATGTAGCATCAATGTGTTACGAGCCTTCAAGGCTGAAGCTTTCCCTGTAGATGCTGACCTGGCTGCTATTATTACACCAACATAGGAAGAAATGATTACAATGGCTGCTGAAACAAAAAGAAAACCAGTGAAAGCATTGTCATACATTTTAGACCTGGATCCAAGTAGCATTGTGATTTCAGAACACAAATCTTTCATTTGTAGACTGTCTAGGTCTTCAAAAGGAAAATCTAACATCAAAATAACACGAAAGACATTATGCAATGAACTGGAAGTCCAAGCGGCAATAATTGCCAGTCTCGTGTTTCTAATGGTGACAATCATAGCGTGTCTCAGCGGGAGACAAACAGCGACACATCGCTCCAGAGACATCACCATCAGCGTTAGAGGAGAGATTACATTTGTGATATTGGCAAAAACAGTTACTGTGCCACAGACAGGATATGTTAGTGTAATTCTACAAACAGAGAGTAGAAACAGAACTTGACATACTGCTAACTGTGCAGTGTCTGCTATTAGGAGGTTAAACAGCAGAATATATCTACAGGTGTCACGAAAAACAGATTTACTCCTCAGAGTGAACAAAATGGTTCCATTAATGAAGAGAAACAGACAGGATGGGATTGTGGACAGAGCAAAGGTGCTCATTCTTTCCAATAACCCATCATCATCATCATCAAACTCAACAGAAATGTTAGACCGAGGGTGAAAGGCGAAGGACATTTTCAAGAATATTTCAAATGAGTCGAACATCAATCTAAAAATGTTGTCATATTCCAGTTTTACAAAACGTTTACTCTCCAAAAACCCTTTAAAAAAAACCTTCAGCTATCCATATACCCTGCTGCTAAAAGCATGTTAGGGAGTCCATGTGGGGAAAACTTGCCCTGCAATGTTTCCTTCGCCTCACTGTTGATTTATGTACTCTGTACTCATTTGACTCTCACCTAATGTATCACATGGCAAAATGGCATCAAACCAGTAACATGGTGATGCAATCCTCCCCTTAATTCCACACTGTTTATTTTCTACTTACAGTTCATGCCATGGTGTAAAATGGAATATATCTGCATTTGGTATTTAGTGGCAATAGGATATGTTGAAACATTAAGCCATTTTTTCCTCTAATCAACACCTTATATCCTCACAAATCTGCTTTTCAGCTTTCAATGCTTCCTCATTGCTTGGTCTAATAGTGACACTTAAAACTGACATGACACCATCATCAATATAACAGCATCTGTCACAAACATGAAGGATCCTGGGATGTTTCCGCATGGAGTTCGCATGTTCTCCCTGTGCATAGTGGGTTCTGTAAATGTGCAGCTTATGTGCTGTGAAAATGTGCCAAACCTAGAGGCCCATTAGCTTGGTTGAACTTGATTACTTCACACTGTGGAATAATTGTTTCCTCCATTCAAAACTGTTTTTAACTCCTGGCTGACACTCATCTGTTCAAACAAGCATTTTCACCATGACCTCTAGATTTTCTTTTGATAGAATCTGAATTGTTTAACTTTTAGTTTGTTTTTATTTTTGTAAAGGTTGTGTGTTGTATGCAATGAAGGACACCTCTTGAATCAAATATATTATCATTAGCAGCTGTAAATCTAAATTTGTTTGTATTGTTCTAAGTTTTATAATTTCTCCCTGCCATAGAATTTCAGTATGAAAGTTGTGCACTTTTATACACAAAGCCTCTGCTCTGTCACATTCGTAGAATAAAAGGGCGCTGAGACTCTTCTTTAAAATTCACGTTCCTCTGTTTTATTGTCACATATATAGACATAAATATATATACCACTTTTTTATTTCAATTCAAGATGACATTTGTTTCAAAATACTTTTTTTATAAATATGATCTATTGAAGTGTTATGCCTCCACCAATTCTGCTGCTGTCTCCTCGATTCCTCCCTTATTTCTGTTCTTCTAGCTTATATGCATTATACCCAACAGTAAAACATTGCATTACAATTTTCATTGATTAAAAGAAATTACATTTTAACAGAATGTTCACTCTAAGACACCAATACATTTTGATGACTGTGTAACTGTCTTAGTTTTCTTTCAGTTATGAAGACCTTGACAAAAGTTAAACTTTTCAAGCACCGACTGCAACAGCTTTATGTTTTAGTTGACAACCGAGATGAGCCAGAAGAATAGGTCTGATAGTATGATCTCTAAGGCCGTAAATTAAAGAACTCAAACATCTGGGGAATATAATCATTAATATATACAGAAATCTATGTAATCGTAGAAACCATTCACTTTGAAGAATTTTTATAAAAGATACAAGTATTGGGTTATAAACAGTTGAGGACAAACTGAGGCACAGCTGCACCAAATGTAGCATCAATGTGTTACGAGCCTTCAAGGCTGAAGCTTTCCCTGTAGATGCTGACCTGGCTGCTAATATTACGCCAACATAGGAAGAAATGATTACAATGGCTGCTGAAACAAAAAGAAAACCAGTGAAAGCATTGTCATACATTTTAGACCTGGATCCAAGTAGCATTGTGCGATCTGAGCATAACGCTTTCATTTGCAGACTGTCCAGGTCTTCAAAAGGAAAATCTAACAGCAAAATACCATGAAAGACATTATGCAATGAACTGGAAGTCCAAGCGGCAATAATTGCCAGTCTCGTGTTTCTGATGGTGACAATCATAGCGTGTCTCAGCGGGAGACAAACAGCGACACATCGCTCCAGAGACATCACCATCAGCGTTAGAGGAGAGATTACATTTGTGAGAATGCTTAAAACAGTCAGCATACCGCAGAGAGGATAAGTTATTGTAATTCTGCAAACAGAGAGTAGAAACAGAACTTGAGATAATACTAACTGTGCAGTATCTGCAAGAAGGAGGTTAAACAGCAGAATATATCTACAGGTGTCACGAAAAACAGATTTACTCCTCAGAGTGAACAAAATGGTTCCATTAATGAAGAGAAACACGCAGGATGCGATTGTGCATAGAGTGAAAGTGATCATTCTTTCTAGTAACCCATCATCATCATTAAACCCAACAGAAATGTTAGATTGAGACTGAGAGACAAGAGACATTTTGCAGCATAATTAAAAATAATAAAAATTTTGTTGTCACATTTCTTGAAAAATTTAGATTCTAATAGATTTTTAAAATCATGCCTGTTTATTTTCGCAAACCTTCTTAAAAGAAGCCTTCAGCAGTGTAGGTGCCCTGCCTCGAGGAGCCAGTTTGTATTTTCACATGGGCTTCGCTTGTCTATAGAGTTTCCTTTGTGTTGCTTTTGTTTTATGTCCTCTGCACTCATTTCATCCTCACCTGATGCATCACATGGCAAAATGTCATCAGACCGGTCACATGATGATGCAATTCCACTTCCCCAGCTTAGTATCAAACCCAACAGCTGAGTTTAGTTTAGTGAAATGCAACACACATCATCCCCACATTTGGGTCACCTGAGGTCTTTATTCCCCGTTTTTCCATTTGGGATTGGAAGCCCTGGGGTAGGACTGGGCCATCCGATCAAGTCCTGGACTGGAGTGGGATGCTGATTGAGGCCAAGCCTTATGTTTTCATTTTCCTGGATAAACTTGGATTTTTTGAATTTCAGTTCTTGGTAGTGTGGCTTCACTTCGTGGCAGGGATGTATTGTGTTTGTATAGTGGGGAGGTTGGGGGACTCGTCAGATGAGGTGCAGCTGTCATGGTGAGATGCCTCTGGGTTCAAGGTGTGGGGTTGGCAGGGTGCCCTCCACTTCTTCCTGTGTTACCAGGCCCAGGCTGTGGTCACCTCCAGGGAGAGCACAGTACTTGTGTTTGGGGTCATTGGTTTAATACCAATGGGTTTGGGTTGGCCATGCGGGGGAATTCATTTTGAGGTTCATGGGGGGTGGGAAGCGTAGTGTTTGGAGAGTTGACTCAGAGTTGGTCAGCTCTGCTTAGTTTACTCATTTGTATTGTATGGAGTTTCTTGTGTGTAGGACTTTGTCCCGCAAACATTAGGTGGCCGGTTCGATCCCCACTCCCTCTGTCATTGTGTCCTCGGGCAAGACACTTTGCCAGCCTTGCCAGGTGGTGATGATCAGAGGGTCAGGTGGTGCCAGTTTATGGCAGTCTCATCTGTGTTGGTGTGCCCCAGGGCAGTAGTGTTTACTGTCCAGCAGCTTGCCTCCATCAGCATGGGAACGCATGAACAGACTTCGCCAGACAGTCAACACCTGGGTTTTGTACCAGGTCCAACGACAAGGAATTGTAAACAGTGTGGAAACAGTCTGGCTCCCATGCGCCTGCAGGATTCAACTCCTCAAACATGCAATAAGGCATCAAAGCAGCACTCCCAAGTATGTTGCTTCTTTTATTGATGTAAGCTCAAAAAAGTCATTCTTACATAATACTGGCTCTTTAAGGAATGCAGCATGTCAGTACAGAACGCAGACAATAGTGTGAGAAAAAAATTGTTGACAAAGAACCAAAGAAACTATGTCAATATGAACATGGCTTCTAGATGTTCTATGCACAGTATAAGCAGCAAGCACATTTCTGATGGATGCCATCAAACCCCGTTTGTTTTTGGACTTGCATGTTTTTATAATGAGAAGTCAAAAAGTCCAACGCTTATTGTATTTAGTTTACTTCCTATCAAACCTTGAATAGATTAAATTGATTTGGCTTTTGAAATAACAAAAAACTATCACGAGTTGTTAAAGAAAAAAAAGACTTTCAGATGGTAAGGTTGTAACAATTACTCTACAATAAGAATGACCTCAGTTGTACCTCAGAAGACCTGCTGAAGACATCGCCACTAAATTTAATGACATAAAACTTGACCAATAGCCAAGCAATGCTTAACAAGCAGGGAATCAATTACATCAAGGTTCAAATGCTCTTGAAGAAATAATTTTAAATATTTAAATATGAACAAATAATTTACTAAGATAATAACTTTATTTTTATTCATTAATTTTTTTAGACCAAACAAGAACATATGTTGGTAATCAAGAAGTATAAAAAAAGCCTTCAAGTATAAAAATGATAAATATTGACATTGATAATTAGATTTTCTTTAGGCCTTTGTCAGTTTTAATTTAAATTATAACCTCATTTGATCGTCTTTCTTTTACCAAATAAAAACAATGTGTTTGTAATTATCAGGAGATATAAAAAAAGTCCTCAAAAATGTCAAAATGTGTTGTGTTTGATCATTTGATATTCGTAGGCCACATCATAGATCACAATAAACATAATTGTTCAGAAAATGAAGTTAACATGTTTTTATTTAGCTTTCAAGTGACAATGTTGATTACATTTACATGAAAACACAGAGTAGAAACAGTGATGAGATGAATATAAAAGATACCACAGCAAAAATACTACTCAAATCATCAAATGCAGCTTTCACTGTGCAAAGGTGAAAGCTGCATTTGCTGCACTGTAATGCAATTTTGAATTCTTTTTACACATTGAACAAATTTCTCTGGGATGATCAGATTACTTCAGTTTGAGGATCTTTGAATGGTTTGTTCTTTAGTTTTTCAATTTCCAAACAGAATCACAAAAAGGGAGAAATAACTATGTTAGTTTTCAAAACCTAAATAAAAAAAACTAAAGTCCTTTGAATTTGATTCTTGGCTCAGCTATCTTAATCTGAAATAAAATCTGCAATTGTTTTCAGACGTAGCGACACTGGAAATGATGGAAGTCACCAAAGAAGAGTTTGTTCACAGCCTTCGTTGTGAT